AATTGGTTCCTTTAAGGAACTTCACATGCAGGAAACATTTTTAAATGTAGTCTAGAAGGTGCCTAATTGGAAGAGGAGGGTGGTAGTTTGAAAACTATGGAGCTGGAAGGGACTGTATATACCCTTCATTTGTACTGTCCTGGTGACTTGCCATCCATTCTCTTCTTTAAGGTCCAAAATGAGGACAAGGTTAAAGAGTCATAAGATAATCCCATTTGTGGACACATAATCTAAACATGTACATTTATATATGTATGTATATGTATATTTAACATATGTAAGTAGATATATCTGTGTACATCACAGATTTATGCTTAAGATTTTAGTGAGCAGTAAACTATATATGCCTATGGAAAGGCCCAGTTTTTTGTTTATTTATTTTTGATGGTAGGGATCAAATCCCAGGTCTCAAAAATGCCAGGCAAGTACTTTTCCACTGGGCTACATCCTCAGCCCCTTGCTCTAGGATTTTTATACTTGATTAAAAACTGAGCTTCAAAGCAGTCATTAGTGTGTTGGCAACAACGCTTTGTGCCTCATTGTTTCGGCACACTGGGAGACAAGCAGTATCACTTGCTGCCTATTAGACACTCATGTAGCTGTATTAGACAGCTAATGATTAGTTGCAGAAACAGCAGGTTAACCGTTAAGGAATCTTTGAGGTGTTCTTGTGGAAGCCAAAATCTTGATTTAATGATCTTAAATTCTGGGATATCCCAATGTGTCCAAAGTTTTGGTACCCAATGTTTATAGAAATGTAAAGTAACCCATGTATAACATGAACTCAAACCCCTTCCTGATTCGGTGCAGAGCTTTCATGAGATCTGAAAAGTAAGAGTCACTCTTTTATTATGCAGCCATAAAGAAACTTTGTAAGTTAATAATGCACAAGGCTTTCCTGACACCCCCACGTGCACTTATGTCTAAAGAGATCTTTCTGAAACAGGGCAGGTGGAATTACCTTCAGTTGAGGAAGCACAGGCATTTGGAAGGACTGATTCAGATGTTGGCAACATGTTAGATTTGAGAGCCCAATTTATACTCTCTGCAGCATGCTACAGCTGCAGGCGTCAACCTTTTAGCTTGTAGAGAAGCAGTGACTGTATGCCTGCCTGACATTAGCTAGTTTGGATGTTGTCTCTAGTCCATGAGTCTGAATTGCTAATTGTGAAAGCTTTCTTTCTCTAATTGTTTTGCAGCCGTGCTCATTCTCCTGCCTTGGGTGTGCACTCTTTTTCAGGGGTGTAAAGGTTCAATCTTTCAAGCCATAATCAATCTCCAAAGAGACACTGCATTCCTCATTCTCCCAATAGTAATTGGTGCTAAGAGGGCTTCCTGTTGGATCATGAGTCTGCACCTGTTCCCTGTCTGTGTCAGTGATGGGCAGATGGCAGGCAGAAGATGGAATGTGGCAGGGAGGGAGCTGAGCCTTATTATCCCAGTCCTCAAGGAAGTGGGTCCTGGCAGAGGGATGGCAGCCCCATCACCCATGACTCTCTGCCCAGGGAACATCAAAGTTTCCAGCTTTCTTACCTACCCTTACTTGATTGTATATCATACTACCTACAAGATGTATTTAAGACAGACTGCTACTCCCTGACCTACCTGCAGTTTTTGACTCATTATCTATAGTAGGGCCTAAGATTTTGTGTTTCCAACCAACTCCCAGATGATGCTGGTCTTGGCCTGGGTCCATCTTTTGGGAACCACTTCTCTGAGAGTACCAACAAAGAAATAAAGAATCCATATAGCTGTAGAGACCACCACTTCTCAGCCAGTGATTGAACCTATCTCTTCCTTTCTGTTTCTCTCTTTCTCTCTCCTTCCCTCTCTCTCATTCTATGTCAGTGTTAGGGCTTGAACTCAGGGCCTGGGCACTGTCCTAAAGGCTTCTACCACTTGAGCTACAACTCCACTTCCAACTTTTTTGGTGGTTAATGAGAGATAAGAATCACATGGACTTTCTTGCCCAGGCTGGCTTTGAACTGCAATCCTCAGATCTCCACCTCCTCAGTAGTTAGGATTACAGAGTGAGCCATAGCACCTGGATCTGAGCTACTCTCTGCAGAGAGAACAGAAACAATAGGAAGAAAAGCAGCCCTTATCCACAACCATTTTTTTTCCGTCTCAGCTCAGAAAAGTAGAGCTGCTCCTCGAGTTTGATGCTCAGAAGCATTAATTGTGATACTTTGCCTAAGCTGTGATGAAATAATTGAAGGCATCATAGCAAGAAGTTAAACCCTAGGGAAACTATTAACAATTTAGCATTTCTAGTTCTTGTGGGAATGTCGATTCTTCTTAGCAAGGAGAATATTAGGGATATGTTTAGTAGAAGTGACAGAATCAGTCGGGTTCCCAATTGGCTGGGCTTTGACCCTTTTTCTGGAGGAAGAGAAATGCAGTCTTCCCCTTTCTCTCCCCCCTTTCCCCCCCCAACCCTCCCCAATCTTTGTCACAAAGATCAAGTGTACTTTTTTTTTTTTTAAGCAATTGATAGCAGTTCTGCTCAGCTCAGGAAGTATAGATAGAGGACAAAACCATGAAGATGAAGCCAGGAGGTTTTGGATGCAGAACTGGCACTGTTTTCTTGTTGTTAAGTGGGAACTTTTGAAATCCTCCCTCCATGTGGCTGCGCCAGACTGGACTCTTCCCTAGAAGGTTGTCTGCCTAGTAGGTGGGTAGGAAGAGAACCTTCTTTATTGGCACTTCTTGGGCAGTAAAGACCACAGAAGGAATAGCAGAGAGGAGGAGTCAGGTGTCCCAGGGAAGAACATAGAGTTGAGAAACTAACTCGGGTCTTCCTTTTGTGATTCATCATCTACTTGGCCATGGACCAATCATTAATTTCAAGGCCCCACTTTTCCTATCTGTAAAATTAAGATATAAACTTGGTAATTCCTAAGGATTTTTACAACTCAAAAAGAAAACCCCAAATAAACTATGATGCTAGATATGCAGATGTTCTGGTCACTGAAACTTCACCATTGTCTTGTGGATCTGGGCTGCTGTTCTGAGCTGTTTGTTTTGTGGTAACAGCTCAGTAAATTAGTTGACCAACAGCACATACTGAAAGTGGCTAAGACAGATCCAGCTAGCAGTTCCTTCCCCCTTCTTGCTGAAGTCCTCTTCCATTTCTGAAAGCACCCCAGGGTCTCTTCTCAGAGTAAGTGGCAAGGGGTAAGGAGTTTGAAATTAGACTCCCCCCAGGCAAGTATACAAGGGCCTTGTTGCTTTTGGGGGTGGGGGGAGGACGGTCCCAGGAATACCTGAGTTGTGTGGCTTCTCGAAGAAAAGAATTTCAGTCTTGGCAACAAATAAACTTGCTGAGACAGGAACAGGTATAGAAGTCGACTCTCAGGTTTCTCCTTAAAAACTAGGACTAAACCTGTAGTTGATTTTTATCCCCAGCCCTGAATTCATTTAATATAAACCATCAAAAGCAGACATACTTAATTTTTGAGGCCAGTCTTCTTACTTCTGTTGGTTCATTCAGTGGTTTTATATTTTTCTGGGGTCAGAGAGAAGGAAATATCTCCATAACTGGTCTCAGGCTGGGTTGAACTGCCTTTTTTTTTTTTTTCTTCCCTGCTTCCCCTGATTAATACAAACTCCAAACCTCTAGAACACATGGGATGTTTTCTACTCCATCTGTCCTCTGTTCCATCTCAGGGGTGATGTCTCCCTGGTTAGTTAGCTGATGGTGAATTTGGAAAAACAAGACACATACCACAGAAACCAAACAATTCTCCAGTTACACAAACCAAATTTCCTTTCTTACAAAAATCCCAATGCTAGAAGTGGTTGATTAACTGACTGCTGGATTTATTTACTGAGAGAAGTCTTATTACCTCTCCAGGTGTGCAGTAGAATGAGGAAAATAGGCTCTGGTTCTGGGTGCTGCTGTTGTCAATTAATGGTATGATTCTTCATGCTCAAGGGTAGGACTTAGCCAAAGTTATTTTAATTCCAGAGTCCAATCTTCATTTTTTACTGCATTGTATTTTAAGTAGGCATTCTTATACTGGGTACCCATTGATAGAATTTTTTCTTTTTCTTTTCTTTTCTTTTTTTTTTGTCAGTGTGGGGCTTGAACTCAGGGCCTGGGCACTGTCCCTGAGCTGTTTTGGTCAAGGCTAGTGCTGTATCACTTTGAGCCACAGCATCACTTCCTGTTTCCTGGTGGTTAAACTCTGTACAGTATCTTTACAATAAAAAATATATATTAACAAAGAAGAAAAATTTTTTAAAAAGAATCTCATGGACTTTCCTGCCCCGGGCTGGCTTTGAACCTTAGTCCTCAAATCTCAGTTTCCTAAGTAGCTAGGATTATAGATGTGAGCCACTGGTGCCTGGCTATTGATAGAATTCTTGACTGTGGCCTGGCCATACTCAGTGTTTTGAGGTTTCCTTATTATTTGATAATCTTATGGAAGAAAGATGTAGGAGGGAGAAAGCAGAGCTGGAGTGTCCTGTAAAAAAATCGTTCACAAACCCATTTATTTCCTAGTAATCTTTTTCTTTCTTTCTTCTTCTTCTTTTTTAAATATTCTTTTGGCTTGGGCTTGCACACACACACACACACACACACACACACACACACACACACCCCAACATACACACCCATATATGTATGTATATAGTTGTAAACCAGCCTTGCAGATAATACCATTTCATAATATTACTAATTTCCTCCTTGATATTTTTACATCATCTATAATAAGACAACAATCAAGTAACAACAAATAAATAAAAAATGAAGAACAACCCCTTAAAAGAGACCCCTTCACTTTTGTCCAAAAAGACCACCAATAAAAACAAAACAAAAACTGTGGGAAACAACTCACCACTGCTCTTTTGTTTCAGGCCTTGGGCCTGTTAACTATCTGCAAGGCTGTTGTAATGATGTTCATCTATTTTAATGGAATTGAAATGTGATGTCCTGTGGTTTATGATGCACGATGTTTATGGCTGTAGTGCTTGATTTTGGGTTTCTTTCACAGATAAACTTCTGCACTGGAGGGGCCTGTCCTCCCCTCGATCTGCACACGGAGCTCTAATCCCCACGCCTGGGATGAGTGCAGAATACGCCCCGCAGGGTATTTGTAAGTTGAACATTCTTTCTTCTACAAATGTCCATGTGTTTAGAGATGAGAGTTTCTGGAAATTACCTTAACTTTTTAAGTACTGAAGGGAGTTACTTCCAAAATAGATTGGCACCACATCAGTATTATCCCATCGTTCTCTTGGCACCCAATTCCCAGGCCCATTCAGCCCTGAGAATGACTTTTCCTTTCCTTTTTCATTTTCTTTCCTCATTGGAGGCCTGGAGCTAATGGCACCATCATCCCTGAGGATCTTCTCCTTAAAATCCTTTCTGGCTCCATGGCGGATGACTGGATATACCAGTATAAACTGGCACTTTTTAGTGCTGGTAGTAGTGCTTGAGCTCAGAGCCTGGGTATTGTTCCTTAGCTTTTTCAATCAAGACTGGGCTCCTAACATTTGACCAACAGCTTCACTTCCAGTTTTTTGGTAGCAGAGATAAGAGTCTCATGGACTTTCCTGCCCCGGGCTGGCTTTGAACCATAATCCTCAAATCTCAACTTCCTGAGTAGCTAGGATTACAGGCGGGCGTGAGCTACTGATGCCCAGCAATGAATGACATACATCTTTAGTAGAGGCCAGAATTACAAGGAGTCAGTATATAATTACTCTGGAGTTATTCTAATGCATGTTGTATATGCATTCACATGTGTATATTTTTATATACACATGGAGCATTATATATGTGCATATATATGCATATATACACCCATACACACAATCTCTGCTTGCTTTTCTTCTAGTTTTGGGGTAAAAAGCAGAGCATCGAAGTTGAAGTGTAAAGATTCCACTCCCACACCATTATCTATTTACTTATTCATGCCAAATTCTAAGGGGGACCTTTTTATGAAATTTAGATTTGTTTGTTTATAAGAATGTCTTCTGCAAGATATTGTTTTAGAAAGTATCTCAGTGGGCTGTTCTCTGTTGAAACACATGGTATGAATCACACATAGCTAATATGTTAGAGGGAGGGACTGTTTCTACCCCAAACACAAAAAAGCAGGTTCAAGATAAAAGGATGTGTGACATCTAGTTTTGATTTTGAAAGTAAATGAAAAATAACCTGCCATGGGAAGGGGAAAAGTAATAGAAAGATGGAAGAGTTAAGCTATAAAAGGGGGCCTTAAAAAATACGGGAGGGAAAGTAGCCTTATTCATATTGTGGACTGTTGTTTTCAGGGCAGGTGGTGCACCCTGAAACCAAATTCAAAACCAGTTGTTTATTTTCATTAACTCCTAGGTAATCCTAGGTAACAAAGAGTTATTGTAGGAGTTTCACAAGCCCTTGGGTCCTGAGGGCTGGGTGGTGCAGGGGTTAAAGCACCTCATCTGCCCCCTCTTCCTGGTTGGGACTGAGCCTAGGTTAGGTCACAGACTGCAGAGTTTAGGGAGTTGGCCTCACAGATTCCAGTCCCTACTTGCTGTTTGGGTGGGGGAGTACTCACCTCCTTTTGTTGGGGGTGCCTGGGGCCTGTATTTGGCTGTGGGAACTGAGCTACAGAGCTACACAGGAGGGAAGGGAGATGAGGGAGTGAGGCACTGGAGAGGAGGGCGGAGCTGAGGAGCCCAGGTCTATGGATCAGGCAAACAGTTTTGCCTTCTCTCTTGGGCTTAGTTTTCCTGAGGACAAGGAGTTGATAGGATGGGTGGGAAAGTGGGACCCTGATAGAGAACTCCTATTATTTCCTCCTTATCCACATAGTACATAATTTGCTGATGTCCAGGCTGGCAGGACCAGTTTAGGAGTGACCAGAGGAAGGTATGTGGAAATGGGCAGTAGGGTTCCAGAAAGCTCTAGGACAAAGCCAATCTCCACCTGCCCTCCCCCTTCAGCTGCATTGACCAGCTGCTCTAGGCTTTCAGAGCCCTTAGCTTAGGGAGCCCCTGGATAGTGAAACTGAGAACAGTGACTTAATATCTCCTCCCTTTCCATCCTACCTTCTCTAACCAGAGCCTGGGGTGAGTCCTGCCTTGGACCTTCTCTCCAAGCCTTGCTGGGCATGTAATGTGGTTAGTGATTACCCTCAGTAATTAATCACGCCTGGTAGTAATGAAAACGCGCATGTGTGTTGGACCTAATAGTTTATGCAGGGTTTTTATATGCATCTGTCACCTGACCCTCACAGTTCTTTGAAGGTGCTGTTTTTATGCTTATTTTACAGATAGGAATCCTAAGGCTTAGGGAAATTAAATGACAATCTCAGAGTCACAAGCTAGTAAACTACAGAGCTGGGATTTCCAACCTTAGACCTCCTTGTTCTTCCGTATTTGGAGGTACTAGTCACATGACTTTTTTTTTTACATTGGTGACACACTAGGTATGGAAGTCATTTCTTCTCATAAGAGAAAATGAAATAAGACAAATCCCAGTAAGGTGGGCAACAACTGCTTTTAACCCTTCTAGTGCCTCCGATTCCTTATGCTTGAGGCCCAGGTCTCAGATTATTGCTTTAAATCAGAACAATTCTGGTGAATGCCCAATGAGGCTCTCAAATTGAGAAGTTGATTTTCATCAGAGTAAATGAAGAATATTATTATATTTTACATGTCAATAAATCAATGTAGCCCTAATTTTGCCACCCAGGAAATCAATTCTGGTCTTTCTAAACCATCCAAGATGTTATGAACAAAGTAATTTCACCAATTATGGCAAGTAACACATTTATTGATGAGTGCAGTTTAGGAATTTCCAATCTGTGAGCACTGTAATATAATATGGTGCACCGGCATGAGCCAAGTGAAATACAGATTATATGGTGAAATTGTAATGCATCATTTGCTATTAGTGGACTGGTAATAATTACCAGTTTCAAAGCAGCTCTTTCCATGTAATCTTTAGTCTCAATCGTAACAGCCCTTCTCATTGACATTATGATTACACTAGCTGCCCTCATGATCTAGAATATTTAGTTGACGGGAATACTAAAATGCGATAGTGAGAACTGTATGTTGTGTGCTCATTATAAGATAAAATGCCATTTTCCCTGACCTGATGTATGAAGGGGGACAGATACCATCAGAGTGTTAACATACTGTAGCATAATCACATAACTGCCTCTGAGAAAAATTTTTTTTTAGGAGGCTCGGGCAGCAAAATAAAATGGACTTATCTTGTTTAAGCTTTGTGGAAAGGATGCAAATGGGATTCTTGATGCAGTCTCATGTGCCACAAATTTTGGCATTTATCAGCGGCTGAATCGTGGCACAAGAGAAGCCAGAGTTGCTAATTGTGGCTACAGTCCTGAGTTTCTAGAAAAGATTATAAGGGTAAAATATTATTTTAAGGCATTTGGAATGATGAAAGTGTTGAGGATTGGCCTCAGCTGACAAATTTCCTTTTCACTCATCTAATTCTGATTGTCAGGCAAAATATATGATGATAACCTAGGAAGGCAAAGGAAAAAAGCCACAGAGGGCCATGACATGGAAGCATGGAAGCAGGCCTATTTTGGACCCAAGTTATTGTTCAACAACAACAACAAAATTATGAAAATACTCTCAATGAAGGAGGGGAGGAAAACAAAAATAGGCAGATAATGTGATCATAATGTCAGTGTTTTCCTTCAAAAATCTTTGTCTTTTCATCCCTCCTTCCCTCCCTTTCCACCTTAGACAAATGTTTCAAACCTAATTTTGGTATCTTATCATCTAATCGTGTTAAAGAGATTTACCCAGGAGTGGGGTGTATTGAGTGAGATTATGAATGCTTTGTAAAATACAAGGTCAGGACAGGAGTCCATAATTTAGACTAGTACTGCAGTGAGGCTGGCTTATTTTGGAATGTGAGTGTAAAGGGCTTCTGAGAAGCCCCTGCCAGCTTCTCCTTCTGACATGCTCAATGGAGGAATCATACAATTGATTCCACATTCCCACTCTTTAGCTCCCTGGTGAATTTTGTCATTTTAAACCACTTACTGACAAAGCTAGCTGGGGGCTTGAGCAACACCGCCAGCCCCTCTTAAAGGAGGGAGAAAGTTTACTTCTCAGTTACATTTTAAGCCTTTTCTTTTCTTTTAACCTTAGGGCCATTATCTTCTCGCATCCTTGTCCCTGGGCTACTATCACTTGTGCCCTTTTAAAGGCTCGAGTTTGACTGGTAAACTGTTGGTTAGTGACTTCATGTAGATGGAGTAAATATATGTATATAAAACGTATATGTTGCAATTTAGCTATCTTCAGAAATGAATGATTTTGTAAAGTCAAGCTGGCCCCCTCTTTGCCAACGTGGCATTTTACCACTCTCGGGTTCTTTTCAGCAAGAGAGAAATAATGTGACTTAAGCAGGGCCCCTCTCCAGACGGCTTGGCTACTGGCCAAAGAGTCGACTAGCTGAACTGTATCTTTCTGTTTCTTTCTCAACTGGAGCCGAGTCTCAGCCGAGGGCGCAGGATGTTGTATAATTTGGTTCACGTTGTTAGCCTCTCAAAATAATGAGGAGGAGGCTAGGGTAGCATTGCTCAGCCTGCTGCCTGTCATGGTGCTTGCTGGCTGCCTTAACTGTTCCTGCAGCCCGAATACTGTGTCTGCTGAAGTTGGCACCACCCACTCCCAACTAACTTCTCTAGGCTTGTGTTTGTTGCACTGGGGGACAGTTCCTCGGGATTTCATGCGGCCTTTTGGTTAACTCTGAATTCCATTTTCTTTTTGAGATGTTTCACAACATCCTTTGAGATTAGACATGGGTGTCCTTGTAAGTTGTTATGGACTCCAAATTTAGAACTCATGCATGTGGCAGGATATGAGAATTTTGCTAGTCTCTCTCCCACTGAAGAATGTTTTTGGTCCCTTCTCATTTTAATGATTTCCACATTTAGTGTTTTCAGGTTAAGCCTCTGTAGATCCATGGCGAATTGTAGTTGAGTTGATCTCCTTATTCTTAATTTTTAGTGTTTCTGTGGAATGATTGTCTAGTTAGGAAGTTCACCTCCCACCTCAGGAAGAAGAGAGTGGGTCCATAGGATTTAGAAAGTGAGTTTGCCTGTCCAAGTCCCTTAGCTAACAGATGAGGAGGCCTGCAGGGATGAAGTGGTTTGTCCCAAATCACAACAGATGAACTCAAAATGTTCAGAAGACTCAGGTCCCAAGAACGAAGTTTCTCTCTCATCCTAGAGCTTGAAATGGCCAGGATGTTTTCTGGTTGGGGCTCGGATACAGAATCCTCAGAACCGAGTTTAATGGCAGGAAAACTAGTCTGACACATATTCATTGGGTAGCAACCACCAGATGTGCCAGGTAGCTATGTGAGAAGTTGATGGGTGGGGGAGAGGGGCGGGGAAAGCTGGAAGTAGAACATGAATAAGCAGTTGCAGATGTCCACCTGCGTGATTAAACATTGATGTTGGTGTTGTATTATTTTGCAGGTAAGGATGAGCCCAGCAGCTACACATGTACAACTTGCAAACAGCCATTCACCAGTGCATGGTTTCTCTTGCAACACGCACAGAACACTCATGGATTAAGAATCTACTTAGAAAGCGAACACGGAAGTCCCCTGACCCCGCGGGTTGGTATCCCTTCAGGACTAGGTGCAGAATGTCCTTCCCAGCCACCTCTCCATGGGATTCATATTGCAGACAATAACCCCTTTAACCTGCTAAGAATACCAGGATCAGTATCGAGAGAGGCTTCCGGCCTGGCCGAAGGGCGCTTTCCACCCACTCCCCCCCTGTTTAGTCCACCACCGAGACATCACTTGGACCCCCACCGCATAGAGCGCCTGGGGGCGGAAGAGATGGCCCTGGCCACCCATCACCCGAGTGCCTTTGACAGGGTGCTGCGGTTGAATCCAATGGCTATGGAGCCTCCCGCCATGGATTTCTCTAGGAGACTTAGAGAGCTGGCAGGGAACACGTCTAGCCCACCGCTGTCCCCAGGCCGGCCCAGCCCTATGCAAAGGTTACTGCAACCATTCCAGCCAGGTAGCAAGCCGCCCTTCCTGGCGACGCCCCCCCTCCCTCCTCTACAATCTGCCCCTCCTCCCTCCCAGCCCCCGGTCAAGTCCAAGTCCTGTGAGTTCTGCGGCAAGACGTTCAAATTTCAGAGCAACCTGGTGGTGCACCGGCGCAGCCACACGGGCGAGAAGCCCTACAAGTGCAACCTGTGCGACCACGCGTGCACGCAGGCCAGCAAGCTGAAGCGCCACATGAAGACGCACATGCACAAGTCGTCCCCCATGACGGTCAAGTCTGACGATGGCCTCTCCACCGCCAGCTCCCCGGAACCCGGCACCAGCGACCTGGTGGGCAGCGCCAGCAGCGCGCTCAAGTCCGTGGTGGCCAAGTTCAAGAGCGAGAACGACCCCAACCTGATCCCGGAGAACGGGGACGAAGAGGAAGAGGAGGACGACGAGGAAGAGGAAGAAGAGGAGGAAGAGGAGGAGGAGGAGCTGACGGAGAGCGAGAGGGTGGACTACGGCTTCGGGCTGAGCCTGGAGGCGGCGCGCCACCACGAGAACAGCTCGCGGGGCGCCGTGGTGGGCGTGGTGGGCGACGAGGGCCGCGCCCTGCCCGACGTCATGCAGGGCATGGTGCTCAGCTCCATGCAGCACTTCAGCGAGGCCTTCCACCAGGTCCTGGGCGAGAAGCATAAGCGCGGCCACCTGGCCGAGGCCGAGAGCCACAGGGACACTTGCGACGAAGACTCGGTGGCCGGCGAGTCGGACCGCATAGACGATGGCACTGTTAACGGCCGTGGCTGCTCCCCGGGCGAGTCGGCCTCGGGGGGCCTGTCCAAAAAGCTGCTGCTGGGCAGCCCCAGCTCGCTGAGCCCCTTCTCCAAGCGCATCAAGCTGGAGAAGGAGTTCGATCTGCCCCCCGCCGCGATGCCCAACACGGAGAACGTGTACTCCCAGTGGCTCGCGGGCTACGCGGCCTCCAGGCAGCTCAAGGATCCCTTCCTTAGCTTTGGAGACTCCAGACAATCGCCTTTTGCCTCCTCGTCGGAGCATTCCTCGGAGAATGGGAGCTTGCGCTTCTCCACGCCGCCCGGGGAGCTGGACGGAGGGATCTCGGGGCGCAGCGGCACGGGAAGTGGAGGGAGCACGCCCCATATTAGTGGTCCGGGCCCGGGCAGGCCCAGCTCAAAAGAGGGCAGACGCAGCGACACTTGTGAGTACTGTGGGAAAGTCTTCAAGAACTGTAGCAATCTCACTGTCCACAGGAGAAGCCACACGGGCGAAAGGCCTTATAAATGCGAGCTGTGCAACTATGCCTGTGCCCAGAGTAGCAAGCTCACCAGGCACATGAAAACGCATGGCCAGGTGGGGAAGGACGTTTACAAATGTGAAATTTGTAAGATGCCTTTTAGCGTGTACAGTACCCTGGAGAAACACATGAAAAAATGGCACAGTGATCGAGTGTTGAATAATGATATAAAAACGGAATAGAGGTATATTAATATTCCTCCCCCTCGGCCCCACCTGACAAGCCCCCCTTTCACCCCTCCTTCCCCATAGTCCTCCAACCCCACTCCCTGTAGGATTTTTTTCTAGTCCCATGTGATTTAAACAAACAAACAAACAACAAACAGAAGTAAGGAAAGCTAAGATTATGAGAGTGCTTGTCACCAGCACACCTGTTTTTTTTTTCTTTTTCTTCTTTTTCTTTTTCCTTTTCCTTTTTCTTTCCCCCCTCCTCCCCTTTATGTTCTCACCGTTTGAATGCATGATCTGTATGGGGCAATACTATTGCATTTTACGCAAACTTTGAGCCTTTCTCTTGTGCAATAATTTACATGTTGTGTATGTTTTTTTTTAAGCTTAGACAGCATGTATGGTATGTTATGGCTATTTTAAATTGTCCCTAATTCATTGCTGAGCAAACATGTTGCTGTTTCCAGTTCCGTTCTGAGAGAAAAAGAGAGAGAGAGAGAGAGAGGAAAAAAAAACCATGCTGCATACATTCTGTAATACATATCATGTACAGTTTTATTTTATAACGTGAGGAGGAAAAACAGTCTTTGGATTAATCCTCTATAGACAGAATAGATAGCACTGAAAAAGAAAACTCTATGAGCTAAATGTCTGTCTCTAAAGGGTTAAATGTATCGATTGGAAAGGGAAAAAAAGGCCTTGAATTGACATATTAACAGAAAAGAAAAACAGAACAAGTTTATTCTATCATTTGGTTTTAAAATATGAGTGCCTTGGATCTATTAAAACCACACTGATGGTTCTTTCTACTTGTTATAAACTTGTAGCTGAATTCAGCATTGGGTGAGGTAATAAACCTTAGGACCTAGCATATAATAATTCTATATTGTATTTCTCACAACAATGGCTACCTAAAAATATGATCTATTAAGTCCTAGTTAATCATCATTTTCCCTTTAGTTTAACTTTGTGAACAAAAACTGATTATACCAGTATAAAAGCTACTTTGCTCCTGGTGAGAGCTTAAAAGAAATGGGCTGTTTTGCCCAAAGTTTTATTTTTTTTTAATGATGATTAAATTGAATGTGTAATGTGCAAAAGCCCTGGAATATGATGAAATACATTAGTAGGGAGTTAATTTTATGAAGATATTTGTTTTAAATAATATCTTTTAAATATTTTGGCACTAAAAGAAATAGATCCAGATTCACTTGGTTGTCAAGTGGACAATCGAATGATAAGCGTAAGACCTTGTATACCATATTAAAAAGAAGAGGCTGACAGGAAGGTTTGACAGAGGGGAACAGAGGGAAAAAAAGTGATTTCTTAGCACAAGGTGGTACTATTTGCCATTTTAAAACTAGAACAGGTGTATAAGCTAATACTGATACAATGATGATTAACTATGAGTTCTTAAGACTTGCATTTAAATGTGACATTCTTTAAAAAAAAACAAAAGAAGAGAAAGAGTAGCAGTATATATGTCTGTGTTCCCTAAAAGTTGTACTTCATTTCTTTTCCATACACTGTGTGCTATTTGTGTTAACATGGAAGAAGATTCATTGTTTTGATTTTATTTTATTTTTTATTTTTTTATTTTTTAAAAATGAAGCTAGCATCTGCCCCAGTTGGTGTTCAAATAGCACTTGACTCTGCCTGTGATACCTGTATCTTTTCTCTAATCAGAGATACAGAGGTTGAGTATAAAATAACCTTGCTCAGATAGGACAATGAAGTGCACTGTACAATTTTCCCAGTTTACAGGTCTATACTTAAGGGAAAAGTTGCAAGAATGCTGGAAAAAAAATTGAACACAATCTCATTGATGAGCATAAAAAAATAATTTACAAAACGCTGCCAGCCATTTACTTGACTAATGAGCTTACTTACTTGGACGCAACATTGCAAAGCGCTGTGAATGGAAACAGAATACACTTAACATAGAAATGAATGATTGCTTTCGCTTCTACAGTGCAAGGATTTTTTTTGTACAAAACTTTTTTAAGTATAAATGTTAAGAAAAAAAATTTTTTTTAAAAACACTTCATTATGTTTAGGGGGGAAACTACATTTTAGGGTTCCATTGTCTTGGTGGTGTTACAAGACTTGTTATCCATTTAAAAATGGTAGTGGAAATTCTATGCCTTGGATTACACACCGCTCTTCAGGTTGTAAAAAAAAAAAATAACCATACACCGGGGAAAGGTTTAAGATTATATAGTACTTAAATATAGGAAAATGCACACTCATGTTGATTCCTATGCTAAAACACATTTATGGTCTTTTTTCTGTATTTCTAGAATGGTATTTGAATTAAATGTTCATCTAGTGTTAGGCACTATAGTATTTATATTGAAGCTTGTATTTTTAACTGTTGCTTGTTCTCTTAAAAGGTATCAATGTACCTTTTTTTTGGTAGTGGAAAAAAAAAAGACAGGCTGCCACAGTATATTTTTTTAATTTGGCAGGATAATATAGTGCAAATTATTTGTATGCTTAAAAAAAAAAGAAACAAAAAAGTGTGACATTGTACAGATGAGAAGCCATATAATGGCAGTTTGGGGGAGCCTGCTAGAATGTCACACGGATGGCTGTCATAGAGGTTGTACATATCCTTTTTGTTCCTTTTTCCTGCTGCCATACTGTATGCAGTACTGCAAGCTAATAACGTTGGTTTGTTCTGTAGTGTGCTTCTTGTCCCTTTTCCTTCTATCCCCCCTACATTCCAGCATCTTATCTTCATATGCAGTAAACGAAAGAAAGAAAAAAAAAGGAAAAAAATAAAACCAATGTTTTGCAGTTTTTTTCATTGCCAAAAACTAAATGGTGCTTTATATTTAGATTGGAAAGAATTTCATATGCAAAGCATATTAAAGAGAAAAGCCCGCTTTAGTCAATACTTTTTTGTAAATGGCAATGCAGAATATTTTGTTATTGGCCTTTTCTATTCCTGTAATGAAAGCTGTTTGTCGTAACTTGAAATTTTATCTTTTACTATGGGAGTCACTATTTATTATTGCTTAGGTGCCCTGTTCAAAACAGAGGCACTTAATTTGATCTTTTATTTTTCTCTGTTTTTATTATTTTTTTTTATTTGGATGACCAAAGGTCATTACAACCTGGCTTTTTATTGTATTTGTTTCTGGTCTTTGTTAAGTTCTATTGGAAAAACCACTGTCTGTGTTTTTTTGGCAGTTGTCTGCATTAACCTGTTCATACACCCATTTTGTCCCTTTATTGAAAAAAATAAAAAAAATTAAAGTACACAACGTAAGCTTCCTGTGTCCTCATTTGACACACTCTGTAAATTACTTCCAAGAAAATAGCAGGTTTTAATAGAAGGCCAGTCAGTCTTTTTCAGAGTGATTTGTATGGGTATTTTGATGTGTGTATTATACCCTAAAGGAACATAAAGTACTTACTATATTAAAATAGGCATACCTCAAACCATGGAACTAGCTTATAATCTTTATAGTTCTAAAATAATTTTCATCAGATATTCAAACTTTCTCTTCATCTCTTAGCAGAAATCCATTCAGATATAAGGGAAAGACTTGCTGGTGATAGCATCTTAAACTTTTATTTCCTTTAGAATTGTTGCTGTTCTTACTGTCTAAAAGTTCTTTTCAGTTCTCCCATCATTACCCTATCTTAGCATGCAATGTAAAAGCATTTTTTAAAAAAACAAAACCAGCTCTTTAGTTTCTGTACCGCAGCTTTTCCTCAAAACAAAAACAACACACCTCTCACCTCTAAAACTCCAGAAACAAAGGCATCTGATTAAACAGAAAAAGAAAGAAAGAAAGAAAACAACAACAGAAAAGGAGGGATGGAAAAAGGAGACAAAGAAACAAAATCAACCAACCAACCAAAACCCAGAAAGTAGCAATCAGGGGTAGCCAGACATAGCCAAGTCTCTGGAATCTAGAACTGATTCCCTGAGATACATCATAGTTTACCTGTGGAAATTCTCTGCATGTAGATGCTACAGATTGTTTTTATAGAGTCTACCTGACTGACAAAAAATGAGGCTGGAGATACCCTTCAATTATCTTTTGACCAACCAACAGATTTATGAAATGCCTTGAAAAGCAAGTTAGTTCTATTTTATAAAGCCCTCCTTAGAACTCTGTGTTGTCAGTTTTATAAATTCTGCATGTTACAGCATCAATTTGCTTTATTACAGCACATGCCTCTGTGATACTGTCTCCCTGTGCCCAGTGTAGATGAATGGATCCGACATTGTTCTTAGTTTTGTAAAAAACCAAAACAAAAATTGTTCGTTGTCTTCTTGTAGTAGCATTTTGTCGCTCAATTCTTAGGCTTTACTGCCTGTGAGGTGGCCTTTTCATGTAATGCTTTTTATCTGATGCAAGGAGAGTTATTATCTTTTGAAAATATAGAGAAAGTAGATGTTTTACTTTACTTTTTTTTTTTTTTTAAGCCAAGTTGGGTGGGGAACAGAGGAATTCACTAAGAGAGGAATTTGGAGAACATTGCGTAGGAGCTAAGATGAGGCATGGTGTACTTAATGTTTGTGAGTGAATGGAGAAAAGATATCTGTGTTTTAGATTAGATTACTTCAAACCTGAATCCAATATGCTGTTTGAGGTGGATCCCAATATTACCCGGGGCCATGTTGGTCTTAGAAATGGTGACTTGTGCTACACTATATTAAATGTCTGTAGCCTTTCTGCGTGCCCCTATTGCCCATTTATTAGGAGCTCTGATTATAGCTGTGTAGGTTTTATAGACAGTATTCATTTTAATTTCTCACTATATGATGCTCTTAGTGTAATTAGGTTTTGCATCCTGTCAGACGGAATTAATGGGGGATACGGTATACTTATATGTTCAGATTTCTTAAATCAAATGGGGAATGGGGAAGGGTGCAACCATCTGGTGATAAATCATAGATTATGTTTGATTTACATGGTGCAAAGTTAAATAAATTTATTGGGAGACAGGTTCTTCAGGTTACTTTGTCTCCTGACTTATTGAAGCCTGCTGATAAAATATCTCTGAGCTGAGTGAACAATAGAAGCATGGAAACTTAGCCCGCCAGAATATGACTTATAAGTGATATTATATATCCTGAACCCTGAAGTTTAATCTGAGTATAAAATAATATGGAAACATTTCCCATATTAAGATGAATTCCTGATACATTTTAAAGTGAGGAAATGACTAAAAAACAGTATTTCTCCAAAATTTTCAGTTAAGTTTTATTAACAGTCTAGAACGTTCTCTATGTACTTGAACTTATTGATGCTTAAGAGGTTCACTTTTATCTTTATTTTGAGATCTTAATACACATGAATATGGCAAATGCTATCACAGATTTTAACCCATAAACTCTCCCAGCAAAAATATGTCCTGCCTCCTTCTTGAGCCCATTTGTTAACTCTTTTTGTTTAGGGGCCACAGAAGGATGGAAATGAACATGTTTTAAATGTTGCTAAGAAGTGGGGTAAATGTGGTTCTTTAAGTGTACCAGCCATGGCAGGAATTATGAAGTAGTTGAGAGTTTTTCCCAGGACATTCTGCGGATAGAACTGTTTGTTTAAATACCATTTTTTGTATATGCAATAAGTCCATATGCTTGAAGAGAGCATTTGAAAGAAAGGGATAGGAGGAGGGGTGAATTAGCTAGCATTTCAACTGGAGAAATCAGGAAATGAAGTGGTTTATTCACAGACACTGAAAGTTTGCCGAAAGGTACTGGGCTTATTTGGGGCCATCCTGAAAAGGATCTGGGAAGCTGCAGGGTCTGTCCTGTCCGGCTTTAAACACTTTTCTTACATAGTGAGGGAGGAAACAGAATAACCTCTTCTCCCTTTCTCTCTTTCCCCCCTCTCTCTCCTTCTCCCTCTCCCTCCTTCCCTCTCTCTCTCTCTCTCACTTTCTCTCTCTCTCTCTCACTTTCTCTCTCTCTCTCTCACGCATACACACACATACACTTGTTGATGACTGTTGTTTGTTCTTCACTAAGAATGCCACCCCATAGCCCCTCGGCCTAGCCTATTTACAAATATAGCCTTCCAATTTGGTTTTCAAAGACAACTTCCTTAAAAAGCACAACAAACAAACTGTGGGGATTTTGCTGATAAGAGGTTGGGGTTGGCAGTGTTCTTTCAACCTGCTTGGGAATACTGTTTTTGAAAAAATTGCTTTTAAAAGGCATGAGCCACTTAGCAAATTTTCCTAAGTGCCTCCTGAGGCCCAGGGGCCTTCCCAGTGGAGAATAAATGAGGCCATTTTTGGAGAAATGGACACTAGAACACAGACACATTTACTCCAGGGCTGCTACAGCTACAAACTATAGACAAGGGTGGTTGACTGCGCACTTCTACTTGCTGGCACCTTGTTCCCCCATTAGCCCCGCTGTTCCATTTACTGTAGCACATGGCCAGGGAATCAGCCTTCTGGGGGACAGGCCTGCTTCTCTCTCTCTCTCTTTCCCAGTGTCATCGCCGGTGATCATGGGATCCAGTAATTCCTCCCACGTGGGAAAGGAGACCAATAACGGGTCATGAGAATCACTGAACTTAAGAATTTAAACTTGGCCAAACACAATGATTGATTCAAATACTGTTTTTCCTTTCTGTAACGTGGCAAAAACTGTATGAGGGAAGCACATATATCTATTAGATCTTTCACAGAGACAGCAGAAAAGGCAAATTAAATAATTTCCCTAAAGGGTTTTCTTAAAGCAGGTACCCCCAGACTCCTAGGGGACTGTGCTTTAAAATAACCACAGATGTGATACATGTCCATGCTATACTTTGTTATGGCTTTACATATCCATAGTGATACAGACAAAGGGGTTTGGTGGTGGTTGGGTTATCAGTTAAGGGACCTCAAGGACAGTTAGAGCTGTACTGGGAATGGGATTTCCCAGAGCCCACCTGGATACAGCAGGCTCCTCAGTCCAGGTCACCACTGCTCAGTGGGGGGGAGGGGAAGAATTCATGAGAGCAGCTGAGCTCCAGACCCCAAGCCTCCTGCCCCATGGAGTCAGGGGAGAGGAGGCCCCAGGCCCTTGCTTTGGGTCGCCATGGCAACAAGGCCTGGAATGCCACTGTGTAGCCCTCCTGGACACATCCGGACTCGCAGTTGTGCTGCTTCAAGTCACTGTCCACACACTGCAAGGGAGGAAACCCAGAGGAAAATAACCTCCCTTCTTTCCTTCGCCATTGCCTTCCCCCCTGACAGACAAAAAAGAAAGAAAAGAAAGAAAAGAAAAGAAAAAACAAACAAACCCTGCATGCTTGAAAGAAACTACAGGCAGTTTGGGGTGCAATTTGAGAGCAACTACTTTGGGTTCTGATTTTCTCTTCTGAGATTTGTTCGCCTTTTGTAAATCGTTGGCTGCTTTGACGTTGAACCTTGATGACATTTCATGTTTTTGTTGTGCTGCTTTTACATCAATTTTGATTTTTTTGTTCCTTTATAATTTTATTATTATTTTAAGAAAATGTCCCCCTTCCCTCCTCCCTTTCCCGCTCTCCTCAACCAAAGGATTGTTTCCTACTAAGTTTTCTCAGTCATAAGGAAAAGTGTTTCCTTCCAGGTGTGTCCCAAGTTTCTAGGACTATCATATAATGGGGTGTTGGGGGGTGGTCTCCTGGGGAATGAATATAAGGTGGGGGTGGCATGGGGAAGCCACTCAGAAGGCAGATATCTGGGGAGGGGAGATGGTTTTTGTAATCATGCCAGTGGCTCAATCTGTGGTTGATTTAAGTCATAATTTTAATAAAAGCTAGGGAGAG